TTAAATTTATTTTGCAGAGGACGATTTGCTCTACGGTGGCCATCGTGAATACTGAACCCCACCATTGGCTTGTGCTGCTGTGATACCATGAGTGGAGCTGATGGCGTCATTTCGTACAAAAAAAATTTAGATGTTTTCTAGTTTTACGTTCCAAATGATCTTTCATTTTTAGAAATTTTGAGGCTATGGCTACGGATTCATAAAGGAGAAATTCAGTTTGATTATTTATAGTTCAAGCCCGCCTCTTGGTACATGCCTCTGAACGGCTCATGTAATTCAATATTCGTTCAGTTTTTTTTTTCGTTTCAGTAGACTTTCTTTTGTTCTACTTCGACCAAAAATTAACGCTGGTCTTCCAAGATATTACCTATACGCTGTCCAACCTTTGGTTCTATGCCATGACTTAATCTTGGATCGTCGTTGAGAGCTGCACTATTTTCTGTCACGCGAGTAATACTCGAGACCTGGCAATCTCTGTGTTTTAACCATATTAATATGATTTTTTCTTCAGTGGAAATCTCTTTTTTTGCCTCAGTGGAAATCTCTTAACTATAAGGTGTTGCAGGGTTTACTTTGAAGTATGAATTTTTGCAGCATTGTTTAGATGGCACAAATGGACCTTATTTTCCATTTCTTGTATTCTTTTTGAATTTTCCATCTTTGTAGCATTAAAATGATTGCTTCTGATAAATTGATCTCTTTACATGGATAAATCAGTTAGAAGTTTTCGATTGATTTACTCAATTTGGGGTTGACATCGTGCTGCTTCTTGTCAGCTGAAATTTGTCACTATCTCTGCATTTTCAATTTGAACATGAAACTAGTTAACTGTCGATTTAGGAGATCGGTTAACTTGCTTTACTGTTTAGAAATTGCACTCCAAACTGCCAAGTTATTTATTCCTGTTTAATTGATCTGCTCCTGCTTTATTTATATCCACAAACCAAAACTTCCGTAGAAAAAAATGGAAAAGGATATTTTTCTGCGAAGACCCCACAGCTACTCGTTATGCTGGAAAAAGGATATAATTTTGTACCTACCATCTAATGTATTGAACATCGTTCCTGCTTAGGTTCACACCGCCACTACTTGAATTTTCGGTTAACCACTTACAAAGGAAATTTGAGCGTTTCAGTCAGGTTTTGTTGACTCTCCAGTGCTCACGTGTTCCGAGTAGCTGAGTAAGTTCTGCCAAGATGTAGAGGTCAAGATGACACTGGCATTTCTTGGTGCAATTTTGAGCTTTCATGTTTACGCACTTAATTAAATCAATGTTTTTGTATTGAAGAAATAAAGAGTATTTTAATTTTATTTTTTATCCTTGAAATTCATATGCTGAGTACTGAGAGAGAATCTAATAGAATAGAAGTGTCGGCATTGCTGGAACAGCCCCATGGCCTGCTGCCGATTCTTGAACTTTTCGTGACTTGATTCACAGAGGATCCGGCCTTTGGAACCCGATCTTTCCATAACTGACGATTGATTGAGATAGCTGCTAGACTTATTGCCTCCGTAAGTTGCTAGGTATTTTAAGACTGAACATATGCTCCTGCATAGTCGTCTAGTCTGTTCTTGAAGGCGTTCATACTCGGAGCGTCAACGATGCTATCAGGGAAACTGCTCCACATGTTGGTGACTCGAAGCTAGAAGAAATGTTGTCGCATGGATGTATTACAACGCAGTTTTTTTAGTTAATAGCCGTGGTCCCTGGTGTTGGTTCTCGTTTCAAATTCTAGTAATTCTTCTGGGACCTTGTATAAGCCATGACTTGTGTCATGTGTGCTTCAATGAGGTCCCCGCGCAGACTTCGATAACTGAGGCTTGGAAGCTTCATAATCTTTACTTTTTCCTCTTAGGACTTGCCTTAAAAGCCCGGAATTAACCTTGTTGCGCGTCTTTGAACACTATTAAATTTTTGTCCTTTTCATGTGTCGGTCTAATGAAGTTAAATGAACTAAACTGGGCCAGCAAAATGATTAGCAAACTGAACATGAGCAAAGACCAAAATGAATAACAAAGGTCTTGAAAGTCAGGGCTTTGCTGTTGTGGCAGTCTTCAGGCCAGGGTCTGAAAATGTCCGTGAACCGGATCATTGAAAACAAGCATTGGGTGATCTTTCCAGGGCCCAGAAGTGGAGGGGACTGAACAGGCAATATACAGTGGTTCCAAACGCCCAGAATATGTTTCACATTGGCTGCTCTACAAAGATGCAGAGACAGGGAAATTTTAAATCTATCCAAAAAATAAACCCGTGAAAAATATGAATACACAATGGCAATAATCTTCCTAATGCCAAACTGTAACAATTTGGAGGCTCGATAGTTGATTTACAATTGAAATAATTTGATCCCACAACTTACACTCCTTTACTTATTATGGAAAATTAAAAACATACCTAATCGAATCTTACAACAAACTGAAGATACATAATTATACCTAGCCATGGTTGAATTTCATGAAAGCTGGCATCTCTATGGCGTGGTCGTAGTCAGCACTGCGAACATAAGGGTAATAAAACATATAGTAATTCCGACATGTTTCTTACATGCATAGAAAATTTGTCAGCACCGGCATCAGGAGAGGCTGCTGGTGGCGCTGACGGTTCTGGAGCGTCCAGCTCGAAGCAACACATCAGGCTTGGGGGTTCGTTTGTAGGAGTATAGTGAGGGATGGTTACCATAGTAGAGTGCACCCTATCTGCACGATTTAACTGCTCCTCTATATGGCTGATGTCTGGCAGTGTGTTGTCTATGATAGTGTTGATTGGTGGAATTGAGAGTGCATGTTTTATGAGTTGTGCTCAGTCTTTGGCGGGGGTAAGGAGTTGAGTATTGTGAGAAAGTAGTTGTAATGTATGGAGTGTGAGCTATTTGCCTTGGTGTAGGTGGTAAATGCTGAAAGTGATGGCAGTGGACGAGGAGTTTGTAGACTGCTGTCGCTGATGCAAGGAATTTGGTGCCCTTCATACATAGGTGTTCTTTCAGAAGGAGGACTTTGGTTTCTGCGTGGACATGGCTGGATGGTGTGGTTTGGGTGCTGCCAAGTGCAATTTTGAGTGCTGTGAAATAATGGCACAGGCTGGACTGTCATCATCTGGCATTGAGCATATATATTGTTTGTACACTGGTGTGAGGTTTTCTTTGTTCTATCCAAATGTTAATCCTGTGAGGGCTTTAACTGTGTTTAGCCTAGGTCTGCTATCTATTAAATTTAATCATGATGAATTACTGGCACTTTTATATTTTAAAGGTAAAATTTTGATGTAATTTCCTGCATTTTCATGAATTAAATACAGAAGAGTATAACTGAATATTCAATTTGGTTGAAAGTTTTTTTATCTGTACATAAAATACTACCATGTAACTTTAGCATTGTTTTTAAACTATAACCAACAAAAGTTACATTGCAAAACATCCTTACTGGTGTATTTGTTATTCAACCAAATTGTATTGCAGTTACTGAAAATAAACCTTTTTTTCTGGATGAAGCTGCTGTTTTAAAAGTAGGAGATAAATGTTAGAATATCATTCATTATTAATAAATATTGTACCAGTACAAGTTAGTTTGTTCCTCTCAATTCTGCTATAGATTAGCTATCAATTAATTTATTTCCCTCATTGAGCAGGTCAACTGAGACTTTGGGGTTATAAATTTCCTGACCTCACGTCTCAAATTGCACCCTTGACCATAGATATTGTGGATTTACCTCTATTGGTAAGTTAGCTCCTTAATGTTTAGCCTTTACTGCTGGTCTGTATTGGCCTTACTTTGTTTTAAACAGTAATCAATTTGTCTACTTCTATTGTATTATGAACGGCAAAAGATTTTGCAATTGTTATTTATCTTCTATTCCTAATTTATAGGATGCCTTGATTTTGTTTGTATTGTTCCTGTGATCAATCGTGCTATTCTGGCATTTATATTAGTTTGTCACGGAGTGTCAGTTTTGAAAGGTTACAGCTAACAATATGATATAATACATAAGCATTCTAGAAAAGCCTATTGTAGCTGTAGTTGACCATTATTTGTTTGACAGTTTCATGTTCATCACGAATGCTAAGATTTTGCAGAAAAATCTTGGAATGTGATTCTCTCCTCTTCACATATTTATTTAAATTTCTTTGGGGCCCAATGACTTTGGTCTCTAAATAATTGAGGTGGCTCTGTTTAATCTGTGTTTATGACCATAGTATTTTGTGCCAATGTCTACTGACTACCTATAAATAACTAACGTACCATATTATTCAACTGGTATGTAGTTCATAATTGGATTATTTTTCATACGTCAACTAATACAACTCTTTTTACTAACAATTACAACTGTAATCAATTTCTATTTGTTTTTTAGAGCATAAAAATGTTTTTGACAATGTTTTTATTTGAATCTTCATCTTTTGATTATTTGAAATTGTATATCAGGTTACCAAAGAAGAGATAGCAAAGAAGTTCCATATTGCACAAGACTACATCACCCTGAAGCGGAAGCGTGACAAGAAGTCTGCCTCTGCCATCATTGTTGCCCCCAGCTGGCGGGAAAGTGACAAGTGAGTTGAGAAAGCCTAATAAAACATTTGTATTTTTGATGTTGTGAAAAACTGCAGCAATTCTCACTTGCCTCTCTGTCCTGCTAAAACATTGGCATTATATTTTGGTTGGCTTACAAAGGTATGGCCTCAAATTATTAATTTTATGCTGAATGCTAAAAAAGGATACAGTATTTCCCAATTACCTTTTCTGATGCCATTACTAATTGATCTCGCTTGAGTTTGAAAGTAATGCCTTTTTCATTTCTGTCAGAATTCATGGCATCAATGAAAATGTTTGAGACATTTGTTACAATAGAAGAATTTTTTACTGTATTAGTGTAGGAAGACTTTAGATTAGGTTCACACCAGTAGTGGATTTCTGAGAAAATGGAGAGGCAGCAAGAGTTGGCTAGATGTCTCAAAAGGTGTTTAAGGTGCATTTTTTTCTGATGTGATGGCTGCAACATCTGCTCCAACTTGCTGTTATTTTCAGTTACATTTCCAAATGCATGGATTTTAAGGGTACCAAATTCATATTAGTGTATGTTTTGTCACTTTTTTGGTTCAGCCTACCTATAAAGCCCTTTATTTGCACCTCAATTTTCATTGGCTTCATTGCTGGCGCCACTGCCACATTACATGCTGGATGAAAACCTTCCTTTTCACTTGAATTGTTGTATTTAGTACCTTACGTTGTACCTCCTATAATATTTTATTAATGCATTGGAGTGTAACTACACATTTGCCTTATCTTAGTGATTCTGCAACATTTGGCTGATTATTATGATAAGGCAAATCTTCTATAATGCAAGGCAAATCTCCTTCTATAATATTATTTGGCTGATTATAATATCAATATCAATATTATAGAAGGTAGGTGAATTATGAGGTTGATAAAAATGAGTTTAAGGAAGAGATAGTTCTATTCTGAGAGCTAAGGGATTCTTTGTATTGATGCCCAAGATACTGATTACAAGGAGTTAAGATTATGTTTCAAGATGGCATTGAAAACATTTCTGGAAAATTTTTTCTTTCATTTTACTAGTTAAAAAGTTATTTTATTTTAATGTTTATTGCAAATAGGTACTTCTTTTTCAGACTTTTGGGTGATCACAATGCAGTGTTCTTTGGGAAGCATAAAGCATTTTTAAGACAATCCTATGACTCGGACGCATCACGACCCTCCTCAGAGCTCTACAAGCCTCATAAGCTGTCCAGTGAAAAGTTTGATTTGAGCCCGGCTAGCAGTGGACAGCCTACTCTTCATGTCCTCAATGATGACATCTTATTTCATATTCTAAAAAATTTTAATGTTCAAGAGAAACTGATGCTTGAAGCAGGTAAGTTGCATGAATGAAGCAGCTTATCAGCTCAGGCTGAATGGCAGCAGCTATTTTAATCGATCCATTTATTGTTATCATGTGAGTTAACTATAGTTGCTATTAAATTAAGTTAATACATTTACGTCATAAATATTTTATTTGTCTATGCTTATTCCAAGTCAGACCCATAAGCTACAATATTTAGTTACAAATTTCAGTTACAAAACCGTCTCTGATGTTCAGATTATTTTTATTTCATTCATGTTGCTCCATTAAATTGTTCTATGTATTTTTTTGTTAGAAACCTTGAATAAAGACTCGTTAAAAGATTGAAATAGTCTAGTTGAGTTCATGAACAAATGTTTTGCAAATAACCGAGAACACTTATTCAATTTTAGGTCAACTTGCTGTGAATTTGGAGGATTTGTGCCTGCAGTTCTCGCCAAAGAGAAGGCACTACACTCCCATGAAGACCATCTTCTCCCGCTGCACCAAACTCAGGACTTTTTGTCTTGAAGTGAGGATTGTGCGGCAGAGTTGTCAATGATGGTGCATTGTCCTCACCTGTGTACCATGCATGATTGTTTAACATTTGCACGTTATCAGCACCTATATACCAAGCAGGTCTGAGTTGTAATAAAGATGCATTGTCGGAATTTATCGACCTGTACATTGACGTAATCTTGATGATCAACTCTCACTTCTTGTGGTGATCATTCCCTGGTCGTTAGTTGCGCCAAAACTATTGCATATTTTTCCTGTGGTATTTTCCCTTCGTTTTGCGACCTGCAACTTCCAAATCTTAACGATTAGCTCAGAAAGTTTTTGATGTTTTTTTCTCGAGTGGGTGTTATGATCTGCTGACTGTTTTGGGTTTCTGTTTCAGAAGAGTATTTTAACTGTATTTTCTATATTATGATTTCGATAAAATGTTGAAGATAAATTTCGTTGGAAGTGTTCCAAAAATTTATTTGTTACGTTCGGGGAATACGACGAATTTGCTTGAGACCCTTCGAAGTGCCAATCAATGAATGGTTTTTCTAGGGCAGATTCGAGTCTGACGAATTGCTGCGAGACTTGCGGCAATGCAAATGTTTGGAAGTGTTGCGGCTGGGCAGAGTGGAGAATGTTAACTGTGCTCTTCTAATGAAGTTGACAACTTCTCTGAAAGAGCTGTCAATCCACAACGTTGAAACGTTAGAAAACTTTGGAACGAATGAAAGCCATGTGGACTTCGCATTCAACTCAAGCCTCACGACATTCCGCATGTTCAACCATGTCTTACTGCCACATCTGTAAGTCGAATAGCGCCTTACAGGTTACAGCAAAAACGGTTTGAAGGAAAAACATGTTACAGTGAAACTGGACTATAGGAGTAATGCTTTACTGGACTATAGGAGTAATGCTTTAAATGAAGGTAGTTAGCGGTTGGCATGGATGAAATTCTAATGGTTGATGCACCTCATGAGCGACTCAGATGAAGATCAAGCTTGCTCTTTTAACTGAATTTATTACGTGATGAGATAAATATTTGATCAAGCTTGATTTGCATGTAATCTTTATCTTTAAGTAGATGTATTCTCGTTAGAATGCATATTGGCAGTTTCTCTGATAACAAATCTTGAAGTATCTCATAAAGTGTTTGATTTGTAAAATGATGCAAATTTTTCTTTTAATTTTCATATCATTGCTGTGATGAATGACAGAAATGTGTGTGAAATGCAAATCACTACTAATGAAACCATGGCTCATTGAAGACCTTTTGAAGCCTTTATTAGTTTTGTTTAAAATCGCCTAAATGCGAGCATCATTTCTGAATTGACTTGAAAATGCTCCTAAAATATATTAGTTAATATTTCTTAAATTGTCCCTTGCGGTAAAGTTGAGTATTGTCGAATCGAGCTGTTTATTCTCGCGGATAAATCAGCACGAAAATTTTATTTGAAGGACCTTTCCTACAATGAACGTGCTTGCCTGAACATCATGAGTAAATATCTGACTTGCATCCAATAAGGATGAGACTGCCATGCGAATTCGAGTAATATTACATGTTGTATTTCTTGCATTAAGTCACTTGACTTTACGAGTGATATTTGCTATGCTTGGCGTGCAGGGAAATTTGGCTGGGGAAAACTCTGTTGTCATCCATGGCTCGCAAGTGTCCTGCGCTGACCCAACTCCAGCTTGATTGCTCCTGGTATTATGCGCCACCCAATTTCAAGCCATTCAATAACTTGAAGGTAGGAAAATTTACCTTGTTTCTAACCTGCAAAAATTCATTGTTGAAAATTTTGGCCAAGATTGCTGTCTGAGACGCGTGTGTTGAACCATGTGTGTTGAACCATCGTGTGTTGAACCATTCCGGTGCTGGTTGAATAAATTGTTACTCTGCCCTTTTGATGCTTCAATGGAGTGGCAAAACGGCTTTCTGTTGTTACAGGTGCTGCACTTCATTGCTTCGGACGGCGATAAAATCGAGTTTCTTCTGAAAAATGTTCTGCCTGACCTCGAGGATCTCTACATCGAGTTCTCAACAGAGAAAGTATATTATGTAAGCTGCTAGTCCAAGCGGGACTGAAATTTCATGTGAATTTGAGTCAAGGACCTTCACCTGTAAACCTCCTTCTTGATATTTTCTTTTCGCCATATTCACAATTGTTGCAAATTTCAGAGTTCTTAACTTCATGGTTTGCTATTAATTATTTAGCTTTTTGTTATGAAGCATGTTATTTTTGTTAGCTTGTTATTTAGCTTTTTGTTAGAATTTAGCTTTTTGTTATGATGTGATGTATGAATTCTTTCATATTGAAAGTATTTATTTGTCACAGGTTTACATTCAAAACCTGCTAGATGCTCAACATAACCTGTCTCTTATACACATCTAGATGTGTATAAGAGACAGGCTATACACAGGTCTTGTTCCCTGATTGTTAAACGTAAGTAGTGATGTCACTAATTTATTGTAAATATTTAAATATGTAAGTAGTGATGTCACTAATTTATTGTAAGTATTTAAATATGTAAGTAGTGATGCCACACAACTTATTATAAATATTTAAATATGTGTAATGAAGATCAAATTTAAAGTCGAATTTTATGTCTTCGGACTGTAATTCTANGTTGTCGCATGGATGTATTACAACGCAGTTTTTTTAGTTAATAGCCGTGGTCCCTGGTGTTGGTTCTCGTTTCAAATTCTAGTAATTCTTCTGGGACCTTGTATAAGCCATGACTTGTGTCATGTGTGCTTCAATGAGGTCCCCGCGCAGACTTCGATAACTGAGGCTTGGAAGCTTCATAATCTTTACTTTTTCCTCTTAGGACTTGCCTTAAAAGCCCGGAATTAACCTTGTTGCGCGTCTTTGAACATTATTAAATTTTTGTCCTTTTCATGTTTCGGTCTAATGAAGTTAAATGAACTAAACTGGGCCAGCAAAATGATTAGCAAACTGAACATGAGCAAAGACCAAAATGAATAACAAAGGTCTTGAAAGTCAGGGCTTTGCTGTTGTGGCAGTCTTCAGGCCAGGGTCTGAAAATGTCCGTGAACCGGATCATTGAAAACAAGCATTGGGTGATCTTTCCAGGGCCCAGAAGTGGAGGGGACTGAACAGGCAATATACAGTGGTTCCAAACGCCCAGAATATGTTTCACATTGGCTGCTCGACAAAGATGCAGAGACAGGGAAATTTTAAATCTATCCAAACAATTAACCCGTGAAAAATATGAACAATACGAACACGATGACAATAATCTTCCTAAGGCCAAACCGTAACACAAGTTGAAGACTTGATAGTTGATTTACTATTGAAATAATTTGATCCCACAGCTTACACTCATTTACTTATTACGGAAAATTAAAAACGTGCCTAATCGAATCTTATAACAAGCTGAAGATATAGAATTATACCTACCCATGGTTGAATTTCATGAGAGCTGGCAGCTCTATGGGGTGGTCGTCGTCAGCACTGCGTACATAAGGGTAATAAAACATATTAATTCCGACATGTTTCTTACATGCATAGAAAATTGACACAATCTCATAAAAAAACGCGGAGAAAAATATAACTTGGCAACTGAAAATAATAATGATCTTCACGCATAAAATCTACAAGCAACACCACAACTAACTTCCGTCATGCTCGTCATAAGTGACTAAAAGAAACCACGCGTGTAACAAGGCAGCGAAATACTTCAAGAAGACTAGAATTTTGCAGGAATTACGGGAAAAATTCTTCAAAGGATCAAATCATGAAGAAAGGGAAGACGAAAATGTATGTACTCTTAAAATAAGCAAATTAAATGTGCAAGTATTCGTTACACAACACTTGGTAATATAGTTGAAATATAAGAAGAATTTTTATAATTTGACTGAAAACGAGACCCAAAAGCTCGGAACAGATAAATCCCGGGAATGAAAGAAATCAGAGTTAGGTGATGCAATGGCAGGTTTATCGGAAGATTTACAAGATGTTGATAATAGTATTAGATTATCTCCACATCAGTCAGAAGACCCCCTCACCGTTTTTAGACAGCGTAAATACAGCGCTACTTATTACAGACGCAGAGTTTTCATAAATAAAAAATTTAACAAAGACATAAGCAAGAAGTTAATAAGAACGACCATTAAAATATATGCGGCAAAGCCAGAAAAGTTCGTTCCACAAACTTCGATGATTTTTTGCCGTACTTTCGTTTACCTCTGCATCCACTATCATGAAGGCTGCAGAAGTGAACAAAAGTGTTGCGAAGATTAATATGAAAAATGGAGCTAACATTCACCAGTTTCCTTGGCATTCAGAGGAAGAAAGATTTCTTGATTACGAAGCCACTTGACTTTAGCACAGCCTACAGCCTTTCTTTATCATTGCGATCACGAGATAAAATTGCTTAAACCTCGCTGAGTCAATTTGATTTCAACAAGATCTGCGATCTGCATGGTCTTACAACAATGAAATATGCATGTCAACCATATACATAAGAATGGATGGATTATGCCAAAAATATCATATATCACAGCAAAATTATCAACAGTCTATTAGACAGCTATCTTAATGCATCATATCGTCACCAATGACTTTCGGAGAGAACGCCATTTGTTTTTAAGCGCTACATAAGACACGGTCATTGATGACTGAATCAGACGTGTTGCCAGCACCATGTCCAGGACCGGAAGCTCGTCGCCTGGATTCCTGGGCCCATACTTTAAAAAAAATTAAGAAATCGTAAGTTCATCAGCCAATCATTGGTGGCCGTTCAAGCAAAATCCACCAATCATAGACAAGAAAACAGAGAGTAAGTACTTACGTTCACTTAGCGAGTTTTGAAAGTATGGCCCCTGACAATCAAAACAAAGTAAAGGCCTGGGACTGCTACGTCCGAAACAAATACTAAGGATACCAAAGGAGTGACCAGTAGCTGCGCCAGCGTTGCGGTAAATGGTGTAAGTAACACGACTAATCCAGTCACAAGTAGTCGAGCGATGCGTCAAGTTAATTGGCTTCTAATAGTAGTATTGCACACAAAATCTTTATAAAGAGACACAGCATTGCTGCGGTATAAAACACGTTACAACTCCCCACACTATCACACCCATCATGACAGCCAACCTGAACACAACCAAAAAGTCCATGAAGGAAATCAGATACTTAACTAGCTAGACAAATCGCACAATTACAGAGTGATCCACGAAAACTTCCTTATTTGAAAGCTCGAAAAAGAAGTAGTACAAAATTTCTATATAAATTTTATTGAAAAAGACATTACTTGAATTTTGTATCAATAATTTTAAAGATGACATCGGCCAAATGACGGCCCCATTGTCAATGCATTCAGTTAGTCGATTTTTGAAGTTGCGTTCAACTCGCCGATGCATTGACGGGTACGAGTATGTTGGCGATGGCTTGGCGTATGTTGTTCTTCAAATGATGCAGGGTCCTTGGACAGTCATTGTAAGCAATTGATTTAAGATTACCTCATAAAAAATTACACAGAGCATAATCAGAAGATCGGGCCGGCCAAAGAACGTACCTCTCAAGGAGATGAGGCGATAATGGAACGGCCATTAGAAAAATACGCTCCGAAAGCAAACGCACGCGGCTCACTTGTCCAATGCATAGTGGCAACTGACGAAACAACTGACGAAACAACACTTCATGACCTTGACTTTCCAATGAAATACTCTCTGGTATTTTTCTAAAAATCCTGGCTGATTGGCGCAAAATACAAGCATGAAGTTTGCATGAATCACCCTGTACAATGCCGAGAATGCAAGAAATGCGCATCCACCATTAAATTAGATACATTTTGCCCTAAAAATCGAACACATCGTCGTGAGCGCTTGAATGGTTTATTTCGATGACAACAGTCAGCATTGCGGCCTTGATGCGTAATCGTACTAAACAATATTTATAACCGATATTCATAAATTTGTTTATACCACAAATAAGTGTAGAAGCTACTGTAATAACAGCAAGCGTTTCTAAATATACTCACATTTGTTTTGTAGTCAAAAACGAAATACGGAACATTCCCCACTGCAAAGTTATGCTCCAAATACCCATATTAACTATCGATCAGAAAAAAACTACTCAAAAACTTGCAACAATCACCCAAACTAAATAAATAGTGTTTCAGCTGACAACAAATGCGAATATACCGGTAATACTGCAACTCAGCAAACATTAACTTCAGAAAGTATGGAAAATCTCCATTTCGGTGAGCGCATATGTGGCTGATGGCAAAACGCTCGTGTAAGACACGAGCAGTGAGAGTGTAGACACTTCAGCCAAGTGTTAATGTAAAAAAAAAAAATAAAATAAAATAAAAATAGGCAGTAATCAAGCTCAGCCAACAGCTTAGTTCAAAGCTTGTACGCGGCAGGCACTAGTGCATACAGAGAAAAAAAGGAGGTCACCATGGGTATTCACAAAGGTGACGATCAGGATAATAAGAAATTAATAATAAAAAATAATTCATTACTAGGAGGAGCGAATGGGTCAAATTGCCAACCCACTAAAGCTGAAGAAGAAACATGCCACAGATAACGGGAAAGGCGATTACAAGACGCCGAGACACTCGTAAGTGAGACATCCACCCACAGCATCGAGACAGAGAAGGAAGGAGCTATTAGTCCCACATAAAGAACAACTCAGCCTCGCAACAGAGCCCCTGCCCGTCATGGGCAGCGAGCACAGCGGTGGCGCTCAGAAACTATGGCAAAAAGAATGCTAAATTCATAGGAGTTCAAATAAGAAAAACACACGCATTCCCTGTGAGGTAATGCATTAGGAAGTACAATTAAAAACAAAATAATAATCTAATCAAGTCATTCAATAGCTTTACCTCTACATTTAGAGAGCATTTGACATGGATTGTGTCCAACTCTTTGCCGTTTTCAAAGTTTAGATCATGGCTGTAAAGAAAGATGCTTCGATCACCATCATTGTATTTTCAAACTTGATTCTGCTTACCCTTCAGAGAAAAAATTACCAGAGAATCTGAAAGAATGGCATTATATGAAGGCATATCTTTCAAAAATTAATTAGAAGAATGATTTTACTTTACCAAAATTCTAAACAGGGAATTCACTCAAAAAACTCGTTAGAAAATTATTTGTAAATCGTAACTGTGTATAAAAGAATACAGTTCTATGCTTATGTTCGGAACATAGATCAGGTACTACAGACCAATAATGAAGTCGTAAACAAGACGCAGAGCAAACTTCGGTAGAAATCTCAGTAATTGCTGTCATGATTTCCAAATTTAGGTTCGTTGTTCAACATACAATCTTGTCAAGGTTTCTTTAGAATCCAGAAATTGAACAAGTCGAGACTTCTAGTAGTAAATAGTCTGCTAGGTGGCAGCTAGGCATTCAGAAGTTACTGCATAATCATAAATTTGCAAGCAAATTATCTACGCGTGTATCAACGGAACATACCATGTGCAGCATGTCAACTAGACTTTGTGATGAGGCTTTTGTTGATATTCGCTCACTAACCGAAGCCTATAAATATTACACAACAAATTAATTTATTTAGATACAAGTTTCACTGCAGAGGCGGTTGACGCAATAACATACCAAGCATCGTCTCCTAAAGGACAGCCCTATAAAGTTTGCACATTGCATGGACGAGAAGAACACATAAACAAAATTTCTCAGGTTCTACATTTTTGGTTCTCGTTCACCGATTGTTTTAACGTGCTGCAATAGAATCGATTAGGAACTATGCAGAAGAAGGTATGATAAGTGAAGAAATATCAATAGCACATGTAGTAGCGTTCTTTCCGTAGATACTGCAGAATGAAAACTGAACCTTTTATTTTTAAATGTACGTGGATTTTTCCTTTTTAACTGAATATATTTTAGACTGAATACATTTATTGAGTGGGTTCACGTTGCGAAGCCAATTTCGTCCTGTTGCTTGGAACTTAACATCGAGAACACGCATGTTGAATTCAGTGCGAAACAAGGAGCCTGTGATAGACGTCCATATATCCTCTGAGTAATAAGATTAAATGCTTCACGTGATAGTACCTCTAATTCTCAGGATTCTTTCCGTAGATACTGCAGAATGAAAACTGAACCTTTTATTTTTAAATGTACGTGGATTTTTCCTTTTTAACTGAATATATTTTAGACTGAATATATTTTAGACTGAATACATTTATTGAGTGGGTTCACGTTGCGAAGCCAATTTCGTCCTGTTGCTTGGAACTTAGCATCGAGAACACGCATGTTGAATTCAGTGCAAAACAAGGAGCCTGTGATAGACGTCCATATATCCTCTGAGTAATAAGATTAAATGCTTCACGTGATAGTACCTCTAATTCTCAGGAATAGAGTTTAAACTCAATAGCGAGGTGTATGATCTATAGCTTTATATTTTAGCCTTAAATATTTCTTCTAGAACGTAACAATGTTCATTCATCCACGTCAGATCCATCCCTTATTCTGACATCGGGAGCGCTGACAGCTTTGAATGAGTGTACTAGGTTATGTTCATCTATTGAATCACTCGGACTGGGATAAGGGCTATCTTCGTGAACACAAGCCTTTCTAACGGGGGATCTTGAGCCGCCGCTGCTGCCTTTATGTTCTACGGGCATTACGCCTACAGGGAAGGAACTTGGTGCAGAGTCTCGAGATTCTGCAATGTTTTCTCCGATACTTGATCGGGCAGGTTTAGCGGCCCCAGATGCACTGCAAGTTTCTTTTGCAGCACTTGACTCAGCATGGAGGTTGTGGGTAATATCTTCTTCACTGGCCTGATATTGTAAAGAATGACAAGAAGAATTACGAGAGAAAGTGCAGGGTGAGTTCTCAATCAGCGGCGAATGAGGCCCTTCGTTGAGCCCAACGCTAGCCAAGTCAACCATACTGTTGGCCATGAGTCCGTCTTGGCTATTGAGACCGAAGCTCATGGCGGAAGAATCATCATATGGCTTAGGAGAAGATGAACTAGATGCGGAGTATGTAGAGTCAGGAGGTTTCTGTAGGTCTGACAAATCCAATCGCAGGTTTGTCTTCGTTTTTGACCTCAGTTCGGATACCTCGTTTTCATTGGAAGAATCATCTGTTAAATGAATATAGTAAGGTTCTATTTCTTGAACCATGGCACCGGAATCAAGTCGCACTCTCTTGCCCTTATCCCTTTTGACGAGATGGGAGGGGGTATCAAAAGGTGTTGTAAAGACCCCTCCAGACGATGAGTCATCTTGGATCAAATTTGAGGTATTCACCACACGAGATTCTTTCGCCGAATTCACTGGATTACTGAAGGAAAAACAAGAAGAATTTCTAAGTGTCGCAAGGTACTCAAGACTGTCTTCTTCTTCAGTTCTGTGGAGAGGCTGCGCGACCTGAGTAGATCGTCCCTGGCAACACGAGCAGCACTCGGTCCTGCCAGAGGTGCAGGCGCTCTTAGAGCTTGCAGGAGACATGTAAATGGCGTCGCCGACGAGGTTGTCTGTGACTTTCACACCGCTACTGCCATTCGATGTTGTAGTGCTTGAGGTTTTGGAATCATCGGAGGATGGAAAAGATTTGTCTGCATGCACGGACGTTGCTGTACAGTCGAAGGAAGAATCCGCTTTAGCTTTCCGGCGCTCCGCTTCTTCTATGATGTCACACGCCTTACCCAGCATGATGATGCCATTTAGGACCCTGCGAGATACATTCTTTTGAATGGAGAGATACATTCATTCCCTTTATTAGTTAACCAGATACATAGAAAACATAAAATCAGATTTAAAATGGTTCTAAATGAAATTATAACATCGCAAGCAATGATGGTAGCCTTGGGTTCTGCAACATTGAAACCGGAATGCTGCGTAACCTGAGGTACATTCGAAATTAGTTTAGTTTGAAAAAAAAAACACACAAAAGGACCCAGGAACACACCGCGCACCTGAAGGTGAAGATGAAACAGAAACATTCTATTCATAATGACCTGATCTCACATACGAACCAAGGAGCCCGAGTACCTGAAGGTGATGATGGAACAGAAACATTCTATTCATAATGACCTGGTCTCACATACGAACCAAGCAGCCCTTGTACCTGAAGGTGATGATGGCGGCGAAGGCGAGCCCGAGGAGCGCATAGGCAGTGAGGTTGTGCAGGGGCAGCGACTGCGACAGGATGCGGTAAGTGACGACGCCCAGCGGCAGCGGCATGAAGCCCATGCGACGAGCCACCAGGTCGCTGTGGTCGCTGTCAGCCTGCAGGAGGGAGCGATTAGTGGCAGGGTGATATGCTGGGGCTTGGTGAGAGGGGCTTAGTGAGAGGGGTGTACTGAGAGGGGCTTGCTGAGAGGGGCTTGTTGAGGGGGGCTTGCTGAGAGGGGTGTAGTGATAAGACTTGCTGAGAGGGGCTTAGTGAGAGGGGTGTACTGAGAGGGGCTTGCTGAGAGGGGCTTAGTGAGAGGGGTGTACTGAGAGGAGCTTGCTGAGAGGGGCTTGCTGAGAGGGGTGTACTGAGAGGGGCTTGCTGAGAGGGGCTTGCTGAGAGGGG